GTGTTTTTATGTGCAAAACATCACGTAATGTGTTATCAACTGGTATTGCTAACAATGGCTAACAATTAACCTGGCTAGAACTGGGGCCTGTTTCAGAAAGCCAGATTTCTTGCTTAGCCGGATAATATTTGAAATAATCTGGGCTAAACATAAGTGAATGAAGATGAAGGCCATTTAAACTGGGGCACATTAAATAGAAGAAGTTATCTGGCTAAGCAAGAAATCCTGCTTTTTGAAACAGGTCCCTGGTTTTGCTAAATGTCTTTCCGACTTGCTGTACTGGAACGAGGGTAACATAGGTGTGACGTCATTCCCAGCTCCGACTTCCGACCTCCGAGGTAAATGGAACGCAGCATTAGTTGTAAATATCTTCTCTTTCACAGGACAAACTACTTACTGTATATCTGTAGAAGATATATGTCAATTTAGATAAAATTTAAGAAAATATACTTAATAAATGCAAACCTTGAAGATGGATGATAAGCCTGCTTTATGTGGATGTAAATTACATCTATTTACTCGGTCCCTGTGAATAAAACACAAATATCCAACCATTATATTTTTATTTAAATAGATGTAACTGCCATCCACATTCTGAGTTTATTTCATTAGGGCAGCTTCCTGACATCAGCTTGCTTATGACAGTATAAGAGAAGCAGTGACATGAGACAGCTTGAAAGAAGTCAGTCTTTACAGTGATCCTCATCCTTTTACCTCAGACGTGATTTATACAGAAGACAAAACTTCTGTTTACATTTTCAAAAATGATGGGATTTGCAAGTTTTTTTCCTTGTAGATTTTATTTGCCTGTATGTCTTTTGATTGAGAGTCTGGGTGTTTAAAACAATGTTTAAATGTATATTTACCTTTGATCTGTAGGAAAACGTCCATCTCTGAATAAGATTGGTGGGTCCATTGACCTGTCACTCTTCATGGAAACACAGCTGGGTACAGGTGAGCCTGCTCTCTCCATCAGGACACTGTGGACAGTGAGAGGAAAGATCCTAATTATATAAATATAACCCATATACTGTGGACAGGGTCACATTAAATCTTCAGCTGTTTAACCTTCTGTTCTGTCTTCATGTACTTTGTTATGCTGTGAAGCTCTTGATGCAAACATGCTTGTTTACATTTAGCTTTAATGTGAAATAAAGTGTCTCAACTAAAATGAAGGTCCCAGTATGAAAGGTTTAGTGTCACAGTTGCAGCCTCCGTTACTAGACTTGCCTGTTGTTGCTTAATATTATGTAAATTTAGCCTTAAATGGGGTTCCCCACAATAAATTTCACCAAGTTACGAAAAAATTGCAGACCAAAATTACCGAATACCGATATCATGTTCTGAATGGGAGGGGAGGTGCGGAGACCGAAAATATAAACTTTATTTTATCATATTCAGAAAATCACCTTGCGCCCCATAGATGTGAAAAATTGAAGAATCAGCGCTAGGTGGCAGCAGAGGACGGTGTCCAGGGAGTAGAGTTAAATGTAAATTCTTGGAGGAAACTAAATTTCATAAATTTAATAAACGATAAACATAAATCATCTACCCCACGGATCTGAATCAGTTAAGTCACGAGGAAGTGAATTAAGTTTAGACCGATTACTCTCTTTCAGAAATGCTGGAACGTTTATTTTTTATTACTGTGTGTAAAGCCGTACAAACACACAGGTTCTGTCTTACCTCTCAGATCTCTTTGTTTTACACTCCACAGGGGGGGTCATTTCAGAAGCAGCTCCCTCCATTTTTGTGCCGATCTAGACCAGATAACTGATGCTGGGGCCTCTATGAACACGAAGCATAAATAGTAACATACATGCATAATATATAGTAGCTACTTCATGCAATGGGTCTCGCTGATATAGTATATAGGTGTCTATCTATAGCTGCAAAAGGCTAAATGGACTGCATGTATATAGTGCTTTTCTACTCCTATGAGTACTCAAAGTGCTTTACAATACATGCCTCACATTCACCCATCCACACTCACATTCATACACCAGTGGCGAAGGCTGCCATGCAAGCCGCCAACCTGCACACTGGGAGCAATTTGGGGTTCAGTGTCTTGCTCAAGGACACTTTGATGGGGACAGGAGGAACCAGGGCTTGAACCTGCAACTCTCTGGTTGCCGAACGATAGCACTACTTCCTGCGACACACACACACACCCACACACACACACACACACACACACACATGTCTGGGGTCTCCCAGGACTGGTTTGAGAAACAGTATATAGTGTCCACTCTAATATATGTAATATACTCTCAAATATGTTATTTTATTATAATTATTTTATCTGTTGAATAAAATCTTACCTTGCAATGCAGAATCTTATCCGTGTTTCTGGCATTAAAATACTTTCACTTTCATGTACAAACAGTAAATGCTGCGTATCAAATGCAGAAGCGGTCTAAGCAGAAATGGACACGGACTCAGTTGCCCGGCGTGGGATTTATGGTGATATTATCCACGCGACTTAATAACAAGTAACAATAAGAGAAAGGGGACAAGCTCCCGCCGCCACCTAATTCTGTTATGACGCACATTCTGTAGTGACACTTAAATCAATAACAGGGATCGACATTCTAAAATGCTTAACGTGAAAAAGCTTATTGTGGTTTAATGTACCAAAACAGCGACCAATAATCACCAAATTTCTCCCTGACATATCTGGTCATAAAGATTTTCACTTTTTCCTTGCAGCCACTTCAGATTAATATTTCATTAGTGACATTCCTAATAGTCATATTTATGTATACATACACACAAATACACACACACACACACACACACACACACACATATACAGGAATTG